AAAATCGAGACGGAATACAACCTTCCTCGTCTCGTTGTATTCGTCGATTGCACCACACGGTGATGTCAAAGTGTGAGAGTTACTAATCCCAGGTGCAGCCAGTTTTGTTTTCCTGTAGCCTAGACACATGACGTCATGAACATTGGCCTTGCTAGGTGAAATACCAGCATGCAAACTGATCCTTCGATCTGCCTGAATAGAAGCATGGGAAATACCACCCCCCCACCCCCCCCCCCCCCCCCAAACCAAAGGGTTCGGGTTTGGGGGGAACCCCTTGATCATTGAATGTTCTTTCCATTGACTGCATGTATATTGTAGAAAGCGTGACTATGTCTGCCATTTTCGAAATTCTTATCAAGAAAAGAATGAATAATGCGTGAGAAAAAGCTGTTTACCCGTGGTCTTCGGAAATTAACGCTCAATTAACTTATTTCCCAAAATGAGAAAAAAGTAGCCAGTGTTGACTAAGACTCGTTGAGAAAAAAAGCCGTGCTTTATCTCATCCATCCGCTTGGTGATTGCTTCATCTTCGATCATACTCCTCCCTACAGCTGTGAGGTGGCCTACCTCTGCTTCTTGTCCCATTTCGTCTCCAGTACCAGGGCAGTCTTGTCTCTGGCATCTTCAAAACATGTCCAAAATATCTCCATCTTCTCCTTAATTTTAATAGCGGTATTGGTAGGGTATCTTAAATACCAGCTCTTTTCTACAGCTCATTATTAAATTTGTGACAATCGGAATGAATTCCATTTTTTAAAAATGTACATAGACAATTTTTGGGGAAATCTTTAAATTTGTCCTCGAAGTCCTTTGCTTGTTTTCCATCTCTGAATCACACACCAGTCCTGCCAAAACATTGTTATTAATTATATGTACACTTGTTGTATAGTGTATTTTAAATTTAGTCTTCAGAGGGATGCTGTTTGTTGAATTCCAAATGGTTTTCAAGTTGGCAAAAACGACCCATTCATTTTAAGTCTTAGACTTAGACGGACATTGTCAATGCTGTATGCAGTTTTGGAGATGATGTCTCAAAGATACGGTAGTCTACGGATAAGTAGATGTCTGGTGAGTGAAAAAAATCAACTCATCCAAAGTTCAACTTAACCGTTGGGACCTATAGAGAGGAAGATGTGCTGAGAGCTAAAGGATAAACTTAACCGAAGATCAGCTCAAGTGAGTTCAACACGTGAGATTGCAGGTTCGGGGGTTTGAGCCTCAGCTCCGTCCGACGTTGTATCCTTGGGAAAGGCACCTTACACGAATTTCCCATTTGGCTCCATCCTTTTGGAGATAGACATTTAATTCTTAAATCATTCAACAGTGTTGATATGGACGTTAAATCTACACCATTTCAACACTGCAGAATGATAAAAGAAAATGGACTCTCAATAGGTTGGGGACTGCGCTGATTTCTCCTTTAAAAATGCATGTTGTGTCAGCTTGTTACGATTGTAGGCTGTGAACAGAGTTATGTCTTGCTTGCCCCCTTTTCCCGGATACAATGAGGTCTCGTTATATTTCTTGCTGGTGTCCTCAACTTTATTTCGATCTGCTCCTCCTCCACGTGCTCTAGGGCGGGGACTTTCTATACATGTATATAGATCTATGTGCGCAGAAATTTTATGTTTGGGATTAACGGAAAGGAAACAAAAACCCAACACCCCCTCCCACCTCCCCTCAACTTCATGGTGATTCGGCAGAGCTCCAATTATCGAAAATCTAGATGAAATACAACCAGAGATCCTACCTCTACACAAGAAGATGTTTCACTCAACTAAAAAAAAAGTGACCGTATGCGCTTTTTCTCAGATAACGCTGCAGTCGCAGTTTTGAAGCTCTCTTTCGTTTTTATCGAGAACAAGAATAGGAATAACACCCTTCTCGCGCACGCAGATCAACTGCTGCAGTTCATCGGTCTATACTATAAAGTATGAAGAGCAGGCGCCGAAAAGCCTGAACAAAAGATTTTTACTTTTAAAAGCCTGCAGGAGCTTCACTTGTTGCTACATTTATTCTTAGCTTTAAAAGTACTGCAAAACAAACAAACGAAGCCATAACATTTTCATACAATATAACTGCTGTGTGAGTGTATAACTGTAGTTACCCAAATATTTTCCATAGAAGTCTATGGTCAGTAGTGCGCAATATACGCGCATAATATTATATAGAAGTTATTCCCGGGGGAGGGGGGGGGGGGCAAGAGAGCACTGAACCATATTGTTTCGTTTTCAAAATTTTTAGTAAGTGTTTTACGGCACTTGCAACACAATAAGGTCATATAAGTGCCGAAGATTAGAGGTGTTACAAGAGAGTAATAAACACAAAAAGAAGGAGGGGAGATAAGGATGATAAATGTTTGAAAGGAAAGAAGGAGCAAACCACACCAGAGTACCCGCCAACCACCCACCCATATTGTTTGTTGTGTAGGATTCCAACAAAGTACACAAAGCAGAATATTTCAGAAAACGCTAAATCTTTTATTCTGAGATGTCAAAAATTAAAGAAACAATTAAAGAAATACAATTAACAAGTCTTCCTTAGCGCCAGCGATTGAAAGAAGTGCAGACTATAAACTGTAAACGAGGTATACATTATTCGTAACCATCAACCATGGGAACGTCGATAGTCAACATCTAACGTAACGACTTAACATGAGCATATATAATATTTTTTTTAAAACGAGCATACAGTATAATAGCACAATGTATTAGCAAACTTAAAAGTAGGCCAACAGGGTGACTTAAAAAAGAAAAAAAAAATGAACCGGTTTCAGAGGGCAATATTTTATTAATAATAAGGAAAAGCAACAGAAAACTCAAGCTAAATCACAAGTTTTGTGCAGTACCCACAATCAACTTTTATTTGTATAGATCTAGAGAAAGGGTTCTAAAACAGCAGAATAAATGTGTCACGACGTGGTGGAATCAGGCGCTCATCAATTATTGGGCAGTGGAGTTATTGGTATCATCTTAAAGTTTGTTAATTTGTCTTGCCCTTGATGAAAAAAAATACCCATTTATCTTGGATAGAAGAAGTTGAGATATCTGCATCTAAAGAAGGTGTAGGTGGTCTTGTTTCAGGGGAAATGACGCCAAAGCTTGGTCATTTCCATAGCCTGAGAGACCGTGGTAACAGAAAAAATACATTTTCGGCCTTTAATTAACGTTTTACAGAAAAAAAACCACACAGAAAGAGAAACGTGTTCTTGAATGGACATATAAAAGATGTTGAGCTAAAAAACCTCCCCATCAAAATTGATGAAAATAACTAAACTGGCAGGAAAAAGCCAGTTTCCTCAATGTAACTGTTTTAAACGAACGCCTTCTTTCACCTTACTCAAGTACAGGACACAACATTACAAGAGAAGAGTTGGGGAACTACAGCAACTTCCACAATCTACAATCTCGTTGAAATGAAAGGTAGAGCTTTTTTTTTAAAATCGATTTTGAAGAGATGAATAAAAATACCTATAACTAACTGCAAAACAATGGGAAGAGCAAAAGGGTGCGATTTTAAAAATAAATTATTTATTATCTTAACACACGTGTTGAGCTCTCTAGTACACGCTGAAATAGTGCGAAGTTTGAGAGATGGTTGATGTTCAATGAAATTATTGTGTTCTTTATAATTTGTTACAGTGTGGCATTCTCTTCCAAGTAAACAAGTTATTAGTAATGAAAAAGGAGACCGTTATTATATATTAGGCCTATCTTATATCATATAATTAACCTTTAAGAATTATGGAGTTAAGTAAATATATAAAATCACCGCTTGGCAGGCATATCCCATATTATCATTAGTCTTTCAATCTTTGACAACGGTTATCCTGTCAGTTTTAACGCATAATGAAAAAGACAATCAATATGACGGAGAACAACATCGTTTAAATCTGTTAGCGGGGAGCATATTGAGAAACTTGCTTCTAAACGCAGTACTCATAGTGTAAAACACGAAGAAATTAATTGCCCCGTTTGTTAAGTCGAAAATATAAAGTAGATATACGACAAACAAAAACATGTTGTGATATTTTCTGAGAAAATAAAAATCGAATATGATTTGCTTTGCGATGTAGAGAGCGATCCTGGGGGAAAGATTGATAACATAGATGGCAATGATCACCACCAACATCTTGACCACTTGACGATCTCGCCCGCTTAGGTTTTGAGAGGACGGCGCTTCACCTTGTTTTTCGGCCTGACTTACATCGGAATTCCCTTTTCTGAACTCTGAACTTTTGGCAAGTTTGTAGACGATAATGGTTGTACACACCACAATCACAACGAAACTGGCAGTTGGCCAGACGATCCCAGAATAATTATAGTAATCGAAAAGAATAGCTTTATTCTCTAGAGCAAAGGTATTATATCTGTAGATAGCGATTGTCGAATTAAACTCGGGACTAAAAACCCATATGACGTCGTAAATACTGAACATAACAGCAAAGCAACCGAAAACAACGATTGATATGGAGACACACATAAACAGCGTGACCTTCGGGGTGAGAAGCCATTTGACCTTGAAAGGCAGACAAACGCACAGGCATCTCTCCACAGCCACGTAAGCGGCGAGAACACTTGTGACGTAACTGGAGAAGCAGACGAAATAGTTCATGACCACCACGCCCACGTTGCTCCAGCTCTCTGCGACCGCTAGTGACCACAAAGACAATGGTCCGGCAAAACGCTGCAGGGCTGCGCCTGCGCACTTCGCCAAGTCCCAGAGAGCAATGGTTGTCATGGATATGTTGACGCTTTCTCTGTAGCCTAGCCGTGCGAAGACGATAATAACAAGAGTATTGGTGACGATGCCTGTGACTGAGATTAGAAAAGACAGGGTAAAGTCTATCGTGATTTCGGAAATTTGACGAATCTCAGTGGGAAGTATCGCTTGTGACGGTTTAAATTTCCCCATTTTCAAACCACTTGAGAAGATTTACCCAGTCAGTACAGCCGAGTGGCTTATCTAAGGAAAACCAAAACCAAAGTATTCATCTACGTCTACGGACCCCATCTGGGGTTATATATAATAAATAAGTTATCTTTTTAGTTTGTTAATTTTTAACCCTTCGCGCTTTAAAATAGTGGGACGACACGTCATCAAATGAACAGAAAAATACGTGGCAATTACAAAATTGGCAAATTTACTAAACATCAGCGACTATCAAGCTGCGCAATTATAGATCGTCGAAGTACTATCGCCTTGCCTTGTCTTATTCGGCTGAGCGGTTACAAGTAGCTTCGATTGCAACCGTTGTGATTGAGAGTGAGGATTTTTCATCGCTGTTTTTTTTTAACATTGTAATTAATCAAATAATATATAATTGTAACGTTTTTAGCCAGCAAAATATAATATATGGAAATCTGTCGTTCCAGGGTAATTTTTCTGGATGTTTCACAATTACTGAACAGTTGGTGTCTGTGTTTTTTTTTTTTAATTTGTATGATAAAGACAGTTATTCAGATTGAATTTTTGGGGGAATTCATATTAAAATGTTTAATAATTACGCTCCCCCCTCCCAAATCAGCACTTAAAATACAATTTAATACAAAGTTCAAACGACACATTTTTCAAAGGTGAAACGTTGTAAAAGGTAAGTTATGCTCGCCAGCAGTGTCGTTGTTTGAATGAGGCTCGTGTGAACAAACAAGTTAACCTCTTTTCTAGAATGCATACAACTTAATAGATTCATCTCAGGTGCTCTCAGTCTACTTTGCTGATCTCACGCAGGCTTTTTGGGCGTGGCCTGGCAATCGGGTATAGTTGCAGTCGATTACGGGAGATTACTATTTAGTGTCACTACTACCTACTGTATGATTACTCGAGAAAAATTTAAAGCACAGACTTCCCGCATCAATTAGTTGAGATTATATTTAACCATAGACGTTTAGAATGATGAAACGAATTGAAATGACATTTCTTTTGTAAGGCACTGATACGATCATTGGGAATTTCCGAACGCAATAGGCGCAATCATTCATTGATGAACGAATAGGACTGTTACTGTTAGGATTGTAAAATGCTTGTTCTCTGTTTGAAGAGCTGACAGTGGATCGAACCCCACAGTCGTATATTTTGAATGGCGTTGTCCCAAGAACTAATTGACGTTCGCGGGCGCAGAGTGTGCAGTACCAAGTTGCATGCAAGGAATTCTATTTTTACAATTTATTCCCCTTTAAAATACTGGCCTTAGCCATAACGATAACTTTCAGCGTGCAGAAACAATTTCTGCGCTTCTCGCCTGGTCCTAGACAGAGGATATCGGAACTAACGCTTAAACTTACACTGAAATGTGGGAGCAGGGCGGTGTTGATGTTTCAAAATGTGCAATTTGTAGGCAAAGCTATTGTAAGTCATTTTTTTAGTTTTAGTGATCCTGCGTAGGCCTATGCATCCAAAGAGCGGTTTTGGATGTACGGCCTAAAGATAAAAACATTTTAATTTTAACCACTGAGTCAAGATTTAAAAAGAATAATTTTCGTTTGGTCGCTGGCCTACAGAAGGGCTATGCAGAGTTTCGTTGGCATAGTAATAATATCTATTTTCTTTTGCTTTGCCCCACACGACACGAGTAATCACTTAATCAATTCCACAAGTTGGACATGCTTGTTCATGCCTGCTGTCGAGCATGAATATAATGAGCTACAAGTAATAAAAATACGCAAAATATATTACTATCATTTTTATGTTATAACACACAATGCACACAATAACCATACTTTCTACTTGAAGCCTGACTGATCAAAAAGCTAAAAACGAGTATGTTTTGTCTGTTTCAAAACGTTTCCTAGAGGCCAGTTATCGCTTTTTCTTCAAGTACAAAAACATAAACAAAATTAAATGCACGATGCTAATACATTTTAAAAGAGCAGAGCTACAATCAAGCAAAGGTGGACAAATTAAACATTTTCAACTCTTTTGATGACATATCATTACATTCATCAATGCTAAAAGTACTGCATGATAAATAAAAGGTAAAAACAGCAACATCCAAAGTCTGGGCAACACCAAATGGACAACCTGTCGACGTCATTACACAAAATCTAAGTCGCAAATTGCTCCGATTTTTTTGCATGCGCCTCTGGATTCCAAAAAGACATTTTAAAAAATATCAATTTTCGTGCATATATTATGCAACAAATATAAAGAGGTGTTTTCTATAATCATTAGTATTGAATTCCAGTCTGGGCGGGGCTCTTCGATTAGAAGAAGAACGGCAGTTGAGTGTTGGTTTGTTTTTCGCTTATATATATATATATATATATATACAAGGCCAGTATATTTTTTAACCTATTTTCTTCTTTTGAATAGACTGCGTGTGCCGCAAGACTGAGTTGTTGTCAGTCCAGCGTTTCGTCATAGTCATAGTGGGTGACGGTGTCTTTATTTAAATTGACTAATTGTGATATAATACAATTTCTATCATATCTTCATAGTCTTTGAGATCGCATGCGTTTCAATTTGCTGTCGCTCTTTTCAATTTATAACGATGGTTATATATATTTAGGAATCTATTTACTTTATTTACAACCCCTCCCACCCCCCCCCCAAAAAAAAACCCACAAAAAAAACCCGTCGTCCTGAACTATTTCTCCAAAGAAGCTGATCAAGACCGTCTCTTTTATTCTATTTAAAAAATACTGAAAAAAATGACAAGACAGAACACATGCCTTAGGACTACCCAGGACTGCGCTGCTCTGATGGATCAAAAAGGATGAAGGTCCAGAAGTAAAACCAACAACAACATAAAACAACAACAACAGAATAATATAAAGACGCATAATACTTCCAATAATACTACTTTCATATTCAGGTCGCGCGAAAACGTATGTGTAGGGAGAGGCGTGTTTGTGGGGGGGGTCTGCCTATGGGCCTGCACCCTTAATAAACTCTATGTTAACCCCAACTTTTGGGGAAGCCCCTGCAACAACAGCCTGTATTGTTATGGGTTTAGCATGGTACGTGCTTGCTATAAATCGTGCGCGGTGTTGAGTTTAATGAGCAATTAATTACTAATGATCATAATTATTATATAGATAGTTAGAGGAGTGAGACATTGTTGTGTCCTCTCTCCTATCTTTTTAACATCTATACAGAGTTAATCTTTAGAGAATCTCAAAACCTGCAAGAAGTCACTATTGATGGCCGCAACATCAATAACCTGAGATACGCATATGATAACGTTTTGCTTGCGAACACAAATGAAAATCCGGGTAGCAACCCAAAAAAATTATTCTCTAAAATTGTCTCCTTTCACCTCCTTTCCTGCTCTCTAGCTATGTTCTGTTGTCTGCTTTCGTCTCCATTTTCTACCCTCGCCCCATCACCTCCTTTGCCCCCTTCCTCTGGACTCCCAATTCTTTCTGCAGCCTTTCTACAGCAACTCCTTGGCTCCTTACTGCTGTCTTTCAGCCACACCCATGATCTTCTAATAGGAAAGATCTACACCTAGCCTTCTCGGACCCGTAAAACACCCCTCCCCCCAAAAAAAAGGAGTACAGGACTTCTGTCATCGCAGGTGGTACAATTGTCAATGCCATAGCTGCTCCTTCTCCTTTCCAGGATCCATGAAAGGGTTGGCTTGCTCATCATGTCAGTGAGTTATATTAATAACAGTTGGTTTGTTACTCTCTTGTAACACCTCTAACCTTCGGCACTTATATGATCTAATTGTGTTGCAAGTGCTGCAAAAGTTTTACTTAGATAAAAAAAAAGGTATTATTATTAGATGTCGCGTTACAGTCAAAAGTCTGTGGACTGAAGCGAGAGTGCTGAAGTAGATTCGAGACACCCTGGTATACAGTTCAAGAGCAGCGACTGTCTATTCCTTTTTTCCCCTGCAGAAGGTAAGAAAAAGCAGAATTGCGTCCCTTTTATAATCGCCAACACCAGGTTCATTCAAACACGTTTTGTGTGGTCAAAATAGGCGGTATGTTTTTTTTTTCCTTCTTTTGGTGCGGGTTGGGGGGGGTGTTTTGCTTTTTAAATTTACCATTTACCCTTTTAATACACCTTCTTTTGATAGAAGATTATACTAAAGGCATACTGTTCTGTCATTTAATTTAATTTGAACACCCCCCCCCCCCCTAAAAAAAAAAATCTTTAAAAATTAAAATTAAAAACCAAAGTGAAAAAATAACCCAACAGAAAACAACAAACAAACATAACAAAACAAAACAAACAAACAGAACTGGCTGTCGTGCTATTTCATGGACATTCATTTATAGCACAAAAACACATCGTACCGTAATTCTGTCAATGTTGCTTCTGCGTGCTGAAAAGTTTCTAGATCCGATGTGGCTGTTTATACCGCTGTGTAGCCTATATTTGTATTATGTTTTGGTCGCAAAAAGCATTGTGCACGTGACTACGTAGTTACTTGTGGCTGTACCCGTTTTCTATTGTGTGGCATCATGGTGAAATCAAGCGCTCGTCAAAATAATGTCATGAAGGAACCCCCTTTTTTCTGTTCATTTGGTAAATTTTATCGCTTTTCTTTTGGGTTTTTTTGTTCTTTCTTTTTTTTCTTTTATCAACACCTTCCATTTCTTTCTGTGTGGATTTTGCTGAAAAACATTATTCAAAGGAACAAAAATGAACATTTGCAGTTTCCAAGGACACTCAAGCTTTGGAAGTCACCAAACTTTTGGCAATCATTTTCGCTCTAAATTTACTTCTGATACCAGGCGACCCCCAACTCCTTTAAATTAAAATATAGCAACTTCTATTCCAGATAGATAGATATTGCTTCACAAAAAAATAAGACATAAACAAGCGTCTGATTCCACTGTGTCGTGGCACATAGTTTTAAAAAGTGTGTGTGTGTGTGTGTGTGTGTGTGTGTGTGTGTGTGTGTGTGTGTGTGTGTGTGTGTGTGTTTGCACGCGCGCCTCTAGGATCGACAAAAGCAGTTCTCATAATACTTTTTTACTTGGTAGAAGAATAGGCATCATTGCAGGCGGCACGATGCCGTAGCTGTTTCCCCCTCCTCTCCTGGCTC